AAATCAGCGCAAACACGCAAGCAAACAAACAAACAAGCAAATTACTTCGCTTCAAGCAATCCCCACCCTCCACACTCACAAGATTACGACCGTTACAGCAAATTCCTCCGTATCCTAGAGACTTCGACTCCAATTCCCGTCGGCCCTTTTGGACATTAAGCAAAACCAGACTGGCGAGTTGCTCTGGCGGGATACTGGCGGGATCCACTGGCGAATAATGGCGAGCCGCTCCGGCTCGATACTGGCCGGATACTCGGCAGGATACACCGGCAAGGGATACTCGGCGGGATACTCGGCGGGATCCACTGGCGAGCTACTCTGGGATACTCAGCGGGATACTTGGCGGGATGCTCGGCGGGGATCCACTGGCGGTCCACTGACGAGCTACTCTGGCGGGATGCTCGGCGGGATCCCCTGGCGAGCTACTCCCAAGCACTCAGCGGGATACTCGGCGGGATCCACTGGCGGGCTGCTCTGGTGGGATGCTCGGCGGGATCCACTGATCCACTGGCGAGCTAATCTGGGATACTCAGCGGCATACTCGGTTGGATTTACTGGCGGGCTGCTCTGGTGGGATGATACTCAGCAGGATGCTCAGCGGGGACCCACTGGCGGTCCACTGACGAGCTACTCTGGCGGGATGCTCGGCGGGATCCCCTGGCGAGCTACTCCCAAGCACTCAGCGGGATACTCGGCGGGATCCACTGGCGGGCTGCTCTGGTGGGATGCTCGGCGGGATCCACTGATCCACTGGCGAGCTAATCTGGGATACTCAGCGGCATACTCGGTTGGATCCACTGGCGGGCTGCTCTGGTGGGATACTGGCGGGATCCACTGGCGAGCCGCTCTGGCGGGATACTCGGCGGGATCCACCGGGATACTTGGCGGGATCCACTGGCGAGTCGCTCTGGCGGAATACTCGGGCGGGATCCACTGGCAAGCCGCTCTGGCGGGATACGCAGCGGGTTCCACTCGCTCTGGCGGGATACTCGGCGGGACCCACTGGCGAGCAGCTCTGGCGGGATACTCGGAGGGATCCACTGGCGAGCTGCTCTGGCGGGATTGGGTGGGGGCGTGGTGTAGAAGCATCGCAAACTCGGATTCCAACATAGAATCCAACAACCCCTTCCTGTCGGGTGGGTGCAGTGAGCACATGAAGGGCGCTTTAGGCCCTGGCCTCGGCTGAAGGCCCTTCATGACCCACGTGACTCGGTGCCCGGTGGTGCCTGTGGCGTTGCTCTGCGCCGCCCGCGTGGACGTGGCGGAGCGCTGCTGCAGCTGGGGCCGAAAGACACGGCAGGGCGGCCTTTTGGTTGGTTCGACCCCAGGCCCCGACCGGTGGCTTGGGGCCCATCAATTGCAAGGATCCAAAAGGTAAAGTGGAGACCAACAAGCAACATGCAAGGTACGGCACATTGGCTTGACGAGCGGAAGCTAGAGAGAGTCTTCACGTGTGATAGGATGAAACCAAATACGACGCACGTGATATGTTTCAGAGTATTGACGCTAAGGTGGTGGACGGACCCACTGTAATCATGATTGGCTAAGAGGTCGCACGGGCGGATGGTATGAATTCCAGAGAGCTATCATGTGGGGTGTCGCTGCACGATGGCAACTGTCACTTGAGAGGTGTGTTTGTTTGTTTGTTTGTTTGTTTGTTTGTTTGTTTGTTTGTTTGTTTGTTTGTTTGATTGTGTGTGTTTGTCTGTTTGTTTGTTTGTTTAAAGCCTCCCCTTGTATGGGATGGGCTGGGGTTGTTGAAACTTTGCTGCTGGTGGTCCACCTCCGAGTGCTTCTAAGCTCCAGAGTGTGAGGAGGCTGCTTCTTCCAAACAATTCACCCTCCTTCCATGGATGTGCGTCGAAAAATTAATATTCGATCAGGCCTCTGTCCGTGAGAGCTGCATGGCTGTTTCTGTTTTCTCGCGTCCACTTGGCTGCTGAGCCCTTCGAATCATTGAAGAGATGCCGGACGTGCCCGGTTTTTGGGTTGGTGCAGCTGGGCAGCTGGGGCTGAGAAGCTTCTCCCGGCCCCTGTTTCCAACGGATCTCTCAACTCTGTGTGTGCGTGTTTGTTTGTTTGTGTGTGTGTGTCTTTTGAAGTGTACCTACCCTGTTCACCTTGCTTTAAAGAGAGACCAAAGGCAAAACCACCAATCTAGGGGGCCCCTGTATTTTACCGAGGCATGCTCATTTGCGACCAGTGGCTGCAGCTGACCTTCCAAGACTCCGAGGAGGTGCTTTGCCTACTGGAGGCGATTAGGGCGCGAGAGTTCCCCCTCCCACCAATTAACACGGAACCTGACAGGGGCTCCCTTTGAAAGGAAAATGCCAGTCAGGTCCATGTTATATAGTTGGTGGGAGGGCATCCTGCAGATGAAAAAGAGGGGAGGTCCTACAAAGCGTTCCCTCAAAAATAGACATGTTTGACGTACGACTCATGAATCAAATGTAGAACGCTTGCTGGCTAACAACGCCCCACAGGGACCGTGGACGATTTCTGTCTGAGACGCCGGACCGTTGTGAGGCGCGAATCGGATCGCGAATCGCCAGGACGCCCTGCTGCTGCGGCGCTCCATCCAGCGCAGCCTCGACCACGAGGTCAGCGAGCTCTTCGAGGCGCTGTTTGGCTGGGGCTCGGCTTTGGGGGCTCATGCTGCATCCAAAGAAGAAAGGAAGGAGTCCAGGGTCCATAGATAAGATGTACTTGTTCAGGCATTCGTCCGGTTCCATGAGAAAATGTGTCCGTACATGCACTGGCGCAGTCGTTGCAAAGCCATTGGATGGATTGGGTTGGGCCAGTTATAAGGAGACACCGCGGGTCCTGCTGGGCAAGGCTTTGCCCTTAATACAGCGAGCTCACCTGGATAAATGAGCTCACCCCACAACTTCTATTCTTTACTGCATCGGGTGAATTAGGCATTGTACCGTCTTGAGTCACGAGTGTGTCTTGCTTGATATCGCGAGGTCAAGGGACGATTATCCCACTGAACCCTGCCAGTCATCATTGGCTCACAAAGACCGGTTTTGGGGAAAGTCCCTGTGCACTGCAGGCCCACAAGGCACTGGGATACTTGAATTTCCTGCTGCCTCCAGGTTGACGACGACTTGCCCAGTGAATCTGCCGAGCCCATGCCTGCCCACGCGCCCTCGCGGTTGCGGCGGGCGGCACTGGGCATCAAAGTGCTGCGTGGACAGGCTGGAGCTCGTTGTTTTGCGGACATGGCGTTCCTCCGTACAAGATTGCTTTTTGGCTTTCAACATTGCCTAAGGGAATGGGGGACGTCAGATGTGGGAGATAGAGGGGGCGAAGAGATCCTTGGCGGCTGCAGCCAAAGTGGAGGTTGAATGCATGGATCTCTGCTGACACGTTTCAGTGACTTTCAGGAATCTGCGGGACATGTATGAAGAACGGCGATTTAAACCATAACACAAGTCACACGAATATGATTTGAAGCCGACAGAAAACACAACCTCCACCAGGCGCAACAACGGGCGACCAAAGAGCATGGTTTGCGGTGGCACTCTTTCTGTGATACCAAAGCGGGGTTCCCATCCCCAGCCACCTGTTCTAAACATTTTTGTTTAAGCCATCTCCTTCTCGTCTACTCTTCTTAGTTCAAAGGGCGGAACTCCAGGATTTGCAGACCCGTGCCCTGGGCTTCTGGCACCGCTCCTGGGACTTCCGCTGGAAGACGCTGACCTTGGCCCAGTTCCGGGCCCTCCAAACCGGCGACGCTGGCGCCGGAGTTGGAGCAGGACCCTTTCCAAAATTAGCGGGACCCAGAGATCCACAGTTTGGAGACAGGCATACATCTGGAATTGTATAGATACATGAGTGCACATATATATATATATATCATATAGATATATACAATATCCATATGCTATATTACGAATGTCACGACATCTCTCGGAGAACGGGTCGGCTACAACTGGGTATCAAAGAGATGTCCAAATTCAGGACCCTTTGAAGGTCTTTTAGGGGGATTGTGGACAAGCTCCGGTCCAAATCCGACGAGGAAGCGGGTGGCTGCGCTTTGGGGAGATCGGGGAGAGCGGGAAGGTGGAGGAGGCTTTGTCAGAGCACCTGACGGCGGCCTTCTTTTGCTCCAAGTGCCAGAGGACTTGAAGCGCACGGCAGGAACTCTTTTTGTTCCCTTGTGCGGGCCGTGCATTCCAGGTTTGTGCAAGATGGGAAAGAGCATGAGAAACCGCCAGACTTATAAATGAGGGAGTCTCCAATAGGTTATATAGTCGCTTCAGTGTGAAGTGGGATCCGTTGCGTTTCAATGGCTACTCAGGATAAGCCAAAGCAATGATTGATTGATACGGGGCCATGTGGACTTAAGGGAGAATCCTCCTCGGGGTAGGAGGGCACTCCTCTCGAATTCCCACGAGATGCTCCGGGTATGAGGATGCTGGCAGGACCCTCCGCCTGAACCGGCAGCAGATTGCCCAGCACCGCATTGAGTGCGGAGAGGCTGGAGAGGTTGGCTGGCGCTGCGAGCAGTGCGGGCTATGCCTCCCGGCAGAGTGCTCTGCCTTGGACATCTTGAAGCACCGCCGAAGCCACGGCCTCTAGCGGAAAAGGGCGGCTGAACTTGTGTTTGCGTAAAGCCCATTTACTAACAGTGGCACCTTCAATCGGTTTCACGAACAAACTGCTTGGGGATCAGCTGTCAAGGGTTGAACTGAGCTTTTGAAGCCCTACCCTATGGTCAAAGCAACGGGCGATGGGGGAGTGGCGGTTGTGCGCGTGGCTCACAGTAGGCTCACAGCAAGTTTCAATGCCAGGTTCTGAGCATAAGCCTTGACCAACTTCTTCTGCTGACTTGCAGCCTTGCTTTTTGCCAAGCCGCTCATAAGGGCACCAGCGTTTCAGTCTTCCATTCCGTTCTGGTATGCATAGGTATGTCTACATTTTGCATATATATATATATCTACATTGTTTCTCAGAGGGCCTCACCTTGACTCACATTGATACATGTTCATCGCTAGGAGAGCTCCTGCTGGCGGGAGCTTGCGCTGGAGTGGCCGTTCGGACACATTTGGGTCACAACGCGAAAGGCTTATCAGTCCATCAGGGTTTTAGGGTTTAGGGCCTGGGGTTTATGGTGCAGGTCAGCCTAAACCCCAAACTTCATGATCAATGGAGTCCCAGCAGGCAAAGTCTGGTGCTAGCTTTGATTTGGCAGGATGCAGTGGGCTGACATAGAAATTGTTGGGAGTCGGGATGGTTGTGATTTCCTGGAGCCATGGAGACTGGCTTCCCCGTGCCATTTTTGACAAACTAACACCCTCTGCATTGACCTCGCTTGGATGATGGTTTGTCACCAATAAGTCTGCCAATTCCCAGAACAACGGGTCAACAAGCCAAATGGGCATATTCACATCCAACATCATTCGCATTAGCACGGGTGCTTGCCCCAGACCAGCTTCCACCTGCGGGAGGTTGATCGAAGCCTACCTTCCCATGTCTACAAAACATATTGAGCCCACCTTAGAAAAGTGGGTCAACCAGACGATGCTTTCCTTGAGGATTTATCTCCAGCTGGTCAAGAACAGACATTCGCACACAGCATATGATCGTATTGAGGAGGTGCATATCACTGCTTGCAGGGGCCACCACTGCCTGGCGTTTCAGTGTGGGGCGTTTGCCACAAGAGTTTCGACATCCGGAGCTAGTTGCCTTCATGGGCTAGCCAGATGAGGGGCCTTGTTCTAAATCTGGCGCGTGTCTTGCCGATGCCGGCACAAAGGCACCAAAATGCATGCCTTCCAGTCTAGTTCCTTGTCGTGTTCGATGGAACCCGTGGATGCTCCATTTCCCCCTCCCGTAGTCAGCTGCTCCCTTTGTCCGAAGAGTTGGTGTGGGTCCCTGAATCCTTGGGCCTCATGGGGCCGGATCGATCCCGCGCAAAAGGGGGGAGGGGGGAGGGGGGTCAATGCTTGCTGCAAGCGACCGGCTCCAGGCCAGCAAGACGGTCACGGCGCCCATGGACCGCATCCGCATGATTTTCCAGGCGCGCCATGATGCGCAGGGCGGGGCTTGGGCGGAAGTGTGGCATGACATGGCGTGGCACACAGTGCCTAAGTGTTGTTGCTTGTGGCCGCCAATTTGTGATCTGTTTGGGGCGATGAATTTGGTTTGGCTTCCCAAAGCGGCCCGGCTCGGTCTGCTGGCTAAATGTTTTTTGGGTCTTGGGCAGGTATGCCTGACATGTGGCCCGTGCGCATATTCACTAAAGAAAAGCATGGTCGGGCTTTTTGCGGTTTCATGCGCTTCCCGTGACATTTCAATTCGCCTTCGTCCGGCCACGGCAGGTGTCCCATGCAACTTTCGGGCCGGCATGGACAAAAAGCGCTGTTGGATGGTATGTGTAGCGTAAGAGTGTAAGAGTTTGAGGATTTTGCAGCCTATAGACCCTGCAGCATCGGCCCACAAGATTGGCGAGTTGGGAACAGAGCGGATTTATTTGGGGGAGAGCTTCTACTACAATTTACCTCTGATGGTCAGAGGGTGTTGCCAGGATTCTCAAAAGGACACAGTTTTATCTTACCATGTCACAGGTCACATCTGTCACTCTTCTCACTGAGCTTGCTTTTTTTGCAACGCGCTGTTCGTTCGTTTTTTCCTTGTTCCCCCACAAAGTCGGCGAAAACCCACCGCAGGTGCACCGGAAGCGGGTCTTCTCCCTGCGCAGCTGCTCGGCCGTTCCGGTGTGGCGGGGTTCGTGGTTTCAGCGTAGGCCCCTCGGGGTGGGCCTGGCAGTTCTCTGGGGGTAACATCTTTCCAGGGCTCCTTCCTTTACTTGTAAAGTCGTTTGTTGGGGGTGTCACATGTGAGTAGTTTTCAAAGGAGTTTTCGTCCAATGACAGGGCAAGCCAGCAATCATGGAGGCTGTATAGCTGTGGATCCGCGCGCGAGGCTTCTTCAACCGGGGCATGCAGATCATCCGGCAGGAGGGCCCTTGGGGCCTCTGGCGTGGCAACATGGCAGTCATCCTCCAGGCCAAAGCTTTTGATTGAGTGTGTGTGTGTATGGGTTCGTCTGTGCCTCCAATCGGGCACCCTAGAATGTGCAATGGGCGTGACTCCTTGGGCTTTGGAATCTGCGCAAAGGTTCTGGATCATCATGTTGGCGGTCGTTGAAATGCAACTTAGAGAAAACACTACTAGTTACTAGTTGGAGAAGTGCCGAACCTTGTGACTCTTCCAGAAGATAATTGTTTGATTGTCCTCATGCCAAGAGATTGGCAGGAAGTGGGCAGGTTGGCTCCCCAGATTTCAGAAGCAACAAGTAGTCGAATTGGGATACGCTTTCCATGGCTTCAGTGATTCAAATGAATCCTATGCACAGGGAGGACACCTTCAAGGACCAAAACGTGAATCCAGGCTCCGTGGATGCTAAGTCCTTTTGCCAAAGGCTCACGCTGAAAAACGGCTCAACATTTGATTGAGGTGTGTAATTGGGTTGCTGCTGGGGTTACCTTGGAGGGGTCCGAGCGCATGCAAGGGTGGAGACGTGCCCGGGAAGTCCAAACAAAGGACCCATGGATTGATTGGGTGCTCGTTGCACAAGCCCTTGGGGCGGTACAGGCTGGCACCTTTTTGACCAGCTCTGCTCTGGAGGTGATGCCTTATGCCGGCATCCAGTTCATGACGTTCGACACGCCGCTCGCTGGCAACCTGTGAGGAGCTCCTTTCAGGGATTCCGACTTCCTTTGTACACTGCCAAGCTTCTGCCATTTGGTTCCCCTCGTTTGGCCCCCTCGCCTACAAGGGTTGACCGTCTTTTATTTCGAGACCGGGAGACCAGGGTATTGTACGCACCTTTTGTGTGATTTTGAGGTTTGATATCTTGAGCAAGTTGTACGCATGCTTTGCTGATGATTGTTTGTGGCTGTTATTTCTGAATCAATCAGTGGGTTCCTCTACCTGGATTGTTGCAACACGCTGCTAATGAACAATTCCTGCTGCTCAATTAAGCCTGGGCAGCAGCAATTCTCTTAGCATCTTCCTTTTCATGCCTGATTGGCATTACTACATGGCTGGTGAACTTAGTTTTGCAGATCAATTGGGCGGCGAGTTGTTGGGTTTTCTCTAATCTGTTTCCGTTTTGCCTAGGTTTGGCAATGGAGTTTGGCAAAAGCGCCCCTGTTCTGTTTAGGTCCGTTGGCCATTTCTGGGCAAGCGGCCTCAGGTGTGTGATTTCGTATGTTTGAGAGAGCGCGAAGTGTGCCCGCCTTCAATCCGCGCGGCATACGACCACCAGCACACACACACACATGCAGCTTCACCCCTGCACTCGCCACATGTCTTCCAGCGGCCTGCATTGCACAAAACAGGTATGATGGCAGTGCCCAAACAAAGGTGGAGCGCCAAGCAAGTTCAACAAACAAAGCTGCTGAGGAGCCCCAGGAACTTCAGCACCCCGGCCGGAAAAAGTCAACTCAGGCTTCTTGCAGGTATAGTGCTGCTCAGAGCCTCCAACAGACAATCCCGGGAAAAATTGGTTTTGGTTTCAAAAAGTGTCCTTTTCTTTCCTTTGAGGCTTCCTTTCACCGGCCAGTTTTCTACCCGTCCGTTTTGGTCACTTCGAGAGGTATCAGCGCTTGCTGGAGCAGTCGGTGCCTTCGCCCTGCCTGGTCCGCTTCTCTGCGGGCGCGCTGGCTGGCGCCAGCGCCACGACGCTGACCTACCCCTTGGAGCGGGCGGTCGGGCGGATGGGCATCCAAGATGAATCAAGACAGATGGGATTGGTTTTTGATGTGATGTTCCCGTGACTTGGTTTTGATTTGCGGCAACCGGGTACGTGCTGATTGGGCCAATTGCGTTGCTTTAAGTTGTGGCCCAGCGAGCCTTTTGCTACCTCTCCTAGCTGGGGAAGTGGGAAATATGACAGGCCTGATGGCACTGAGGTTTATATTGATGGTCGGCTGGTCCAATTCTACCCTCGTGAATGCACGTTCTGAGGGTTGTTCAGCAAGGCTTCTGAGTTTAAATTTGCTGCAAACGGCCTACTTTGACATGGGGCTTGGCTTCGCAATTTGAAGGACTTCTCCTCCTGACGAACGGAAGGATGCAACTTCTTGATTACGGACTTGTGCCAACTTACGGTGCGTCAGTCGTTTTGTGGGAATCGTCATCATGTAGCTTTGTCTTTTTGATCAGGGGATCGGGAGCCCAATTCAGTGCCCTTGAGTTGCTCCATTGGCCACAAGGGCGGGTAATGAAGCTTGATTACAAATATATACTTTCTGTCCGCAAAGGGACGGATTGGATTAGATTCGATTAGTTCCAAATCAAATAGGAATGACAGATGAACGTGATCGGCGACTTCTCGTGGGCCAGGACTTGTTGAGAGCGCAGATGGCCATCAGCATGACCTCCTTGTGGGACAGGGTGCCGCATTCTTCATACACCGCGGCGGCAGAGGACATCATCCGAAACGAAGGCTAGGGGATGGGGTAGGGACAAGCTTCGGTTTGCAACCAGCACCCTGCCACAGATTGCCAGAGATCGCAACTACGAACAACACCTTCTGTAGCGCATGCAACTCCGAAGTGTTTGCCTGTAGTATGCTAACACTTGACAAGGCTTCTGCTTCTCCGGCACGAGAACGAAGGGACGCTGGGACGGCCTGCTGTTCCGCCAAGGTTCCACCAAGTTCCTTTTGGGACTCTTTTGTTCTGTTCTGCCTGGCATGGAGGTGCACCGGTGCATCCAAAGTAGGGCGACTTCGCTAAACAGAGTTCAATCATGCGCCTCTTTTCGCCGGCTCAACCGGGAAATGGTGGTTGCTTCCTTGCTACAAGCTGTTTTGGGGCCCTGCTTCAACAAACAAACGGAGGCTTGTCGCAGCCGGTGCTTCGCCAGCTATGTGACTTGAAGCATTTCGAACTGAGCGGTGCTGGTACCCAGGTTCCATTTTCGGCAAGAACGAGCATGAACAGCATGAACGTCAAAAAAGCCGTCCTCCTCAGGCAGTGTTTTTCAGAGGATGTCCACAATCTGCTTCGCTTTCCGGAAGGCACTGGTATCAAAACTCCCCTCCCCGCCCTCATGCTCCTTGCAGTTTCCGGCTCTCAGCTTCAGACTGCCCTCTAGTTGGATCGAAGATGGCCATGGCTCGCGTGCTGTTCGCTGTGCTTCCTCTGCGCCTTCGAGGAAAGTTTGGAGGGGCCTTTCCAACCAAATCATCCAACCCGAAGTGATCTGACTGATGCGTTTTTGGCTTGAATCCCCAAACTCGCAGTGGTTTGGTTCTTTTCTGGTTGGCTGGGGGGGGGGGGCGAAGCAAAGAAGACAAGCTACGCAAGCCCTTTAACTAACCAGTTGCGTCAATGTGTCGCAGTTCGCTGGCACTTTGCCGCGGGCCGGCGGATCCTCAGCAAAATGGTCTGATAGATCGTTGGCGCAGCGGTCCCAAGACAAGAGGGGTCTTTGAACATCGCCTTGACATGTCACAGGCGGGTTTCCTTCTGGGCTCTCAGGCTGGCGGTGGCCGGGAATTTACGCGGCAACGACGTGGAGGAGGTGGAGCACCTGGAGATGGAAGCCTCCAAGTGCACAGGGGAGGGCAATTTGCCGAAGCACCCAGTGCCCCGGCTGTGTTTGTCGCCTTGGGCCCAGTAGGGGAAACTTGGCTGTGGATTTGAATTGGGAAGCCCTCGCAATGGCTGGATATGAATCAACATGAAACACATATAAACGATCGCACCAAAGAGTTCCTAATTCAAGTTTACACGAGCTCGGATCTGCCCCCTTTGAGCGGGTTTGCCTTTTGGCTTCCTTTTGCAGCCTTTCGCAAAGGCGGCTCAGGGATCTGGGGGTCTTCTACAATTTATTCAGGTGCCGTGATGGATTGATTGTCTTTCAAAGGGCAGCCGAGGGAAACATATTCAGCTTCATCTACTGTAGCAAAGGGAAGGGCATTGAGTTCACTCACCAAACTGACTGGAGACAAGTTTATGCACCAAATTCCAGTATCAAATGGAACGCTGACCGTTGCTCACATGAGCTGCTTGCAAACGGCTCAAGCTCCTAGTTACGCAGATTCTAGGCCCTTTTCTGGCATGTTTAGGAGCCAATTCATTGAACATGGCCGACCAAAAAAGGCGAGCAGCTTTTTTCCCGCGGCCGCCGCACGGCAAGAGATGCAAAACGAGCGCTTCTGCCTATGATGAAGGCCCTTGACTTAGGGATCCTTTTCCTGCTTAGGAAACTTGCAACTTGTGCAGAGGGGGTGCCTGCCCATGGTTGAGTGGCAGGTATGACAGTTGACTGCTGGTTGCAGGTAGCAACGTGGAGCAGCAAATGCAAGGATTCAATCACAAGCCATGTTTGCCTCCACGCGCTCCATGGCGCCCAAACTTCGTTCGACGAGCCCAGCACGGTGGCGAGGATCAGCCCTACCCCTGCCTCCGAAATAGCAGATCTCCTTTCAATGCCGATCCATTTCAGTTTGACCCCGCTTTTCCCGCATGGTTGGCACTTAGCAATCCTCCTCCTTTGAAGTTTTTGATGTGTTGGGGGTTGGTGCTGCATGTTGTTGGCCATGGCACCCTCCTCCTTTGTGCCCAGATGTCTGAAGCTATAAAAGACAACACTTGAAGTGGGGCTTCGGGGTGAAGTGGGTGAGACACGCAGTTGGCAACGTGAGGTGTGCTTTGGAGGCAAGGTTCTGGTGGAGTCCTTCTCTATTCACGTCACCAGCTATGACGGGGAGGATGGCACTGTGAACCTCAAGGCTGGGGAGCTGTGTGTCCCTTTCTTGTTTTATTTTGTTCCCCAACAGCTGAAAGCTGGCTTGGGGTCTCAGCCCAGCTAGGCTCCGGGGGTGCTCCGGGGTGGTCCGGGGCGGCCCTGAGGTAAGGTTCCACGAGTGTGTCACCAGGGTTTTGCCGGGTTTCACGAGGGTTCCACGAGGTTCTGCGAGGGCTGCGGGGTGGTGCGAGCATTAAAAAGAGCACCGTATGCTATTGGGGATGTCACCTGAGCTTGTTTTTTTTTGGGCTTTGCAGAGGGTAGATGGGAAGCCAACCCTCAACCACTAAACCACTAATCCAAACCACCAAGTAGAGGGAAGCTGATGCTGTTTGGTTTTAAAGGGAGCCGCCAACAGGAACAACAACACTACATTTGAGGGGGCCCCCTAGTTTCAAGACGAACCGAAATTATGAGGCCCTTTGCAAGGGAAACGGAACCAGCCAAGTTGGAGGATGACTTTAGATCTGTGCCTGGGTTCGTTATGGAGGATGAGGCTAGACAGCACCACCAGTGAGCTCTGGCGTACCACCACGACGGTACCATGTCTCTCGCTTGCCAGCCATTTCTGGCACTGGCCGTCACATCGCCGCCAGGCTGAGGGGCCTCAGTCTGGCCTGTGCGAGGGCGCCAAGTTCGAGAGCGAGGAGTGGGCGGGGCGGGGAACGGTGCTTGGGGCATGTTAAAGACCTGTCCACATTAGGCACTTCTTGAATGGCTTATAGTATCCCTGTGGGAATTCGTGACTCCCAGCCCAGCTGAGATGCGTCAGACAAACCCACCTCTGCCCCACCAGGCCATACCCTGCCCAGCCATGGCGGACATGGCCCATACGTCGACAGGACAACATCATCACCATCGAGAATGACGAGGGCTGCACCTTGGCAGCACCTCCTAACATTCGCCCATTCCTCTTATTGGCCAGATCCACGTTTTGCTTTGGGACGATTTTGCGTAGGACTATTCTTCGCGCAGTCAAAGCTACTAGTGAACATCAGCAGAGATAGACGCATAGCGGAACATGAAACTTGAGCTGGGCTTCCTCTTCAGCTATTCACCTAGTCTCAGGGATCATTTCTTCGCTGTTCATGGAAACCGCTCGTCCAAGGGGCGCACGCAATTTCGGCTAGCCGATGTAGATGTCTTGAGCCAATGAGAACTCAAAAGATCGCCGTGAAGGGGGGTTAGCTACGTGGGTGTCACTGTCATTTGCCGCTGTTTGTTTGAATCATTCCGTCTTCCTTTTCTGGGGGCGGCGTGTCTGCCTTGCCCACTGCTTTGTTGCTTTCACTGACCAGACCTCCAGCCTCCAATGCTTCCACTTCCGACTGCACCTTTGCCAGCCCGCGTGAATCAACGCACTAGCCGATGAAAGCCATGCTCACAGAGCAAGAAATGATCTAGTGGGCTCGAATTGGCGTGATTCTTCAGGCTCGTTTGTTGCGTTGGCTCATTGCATTCTGAAGCCTTGGTTGCTATGTGGTTGTCCCGATGGCAGCTAAAGGTAAACATGGAAGATGCAATCGCTGCACTACATGTACTAGCAAGTGCTGTCACATATGTGGATCATGTTTCAACAGCTTGTTTGTCAACAAGTTGCTTTCAATTCCGACATCCTCATCTGGAAATGCACACCTCGTTTAAATGGTAACACGGGCGTGTGTGCGCGCGCGGATCAAGCTGGGTTCTTGATGGGTGTGACTTTGAGGCGGCTTGAACGACTTGGGCTATGAGTACACTGTGAGGTACTGCCCGGACCAGGAGTGGGCGGCTGGTCTGCTGGACCCCTGCAGGTGCTCGCTTTCTGGTTTGGCCAGGCAGCCTTTGGTTCCAGATTTGTGCTGGTGGGCGAACCTCCGAACCTCAATCTTGAATGGGCTGCTGCGATTCGCCAGGACCACCTGGTGGTTAACATCCTCAAGCCCTACTTCTTGAAGATGGTGCTGAAGAGTGAGACGTGCCCAGATGCCGGAGAGGTCTGATCAATTAAGAGCTTTGCACAGGAGCCCTCCAAGGATTCACCCAATGAGACCTGCTGAAGCTGAGCCTCTCATTTGAGACCCTTGTTCTCCGAGATGTTGTAAGCAAGTCAGCATGGCATCGGCATGCTTTGCCTGCGTTCTTGCTAAGGTCGGTACAGGGTGGCACTTGGGGCTCCATTTTGTTAGCTGCAGATGTCAGCTATTTTCAACTTTGAGGTGCCGGTTCCCATCTTTGGCACCACCAATGCCAGCAACGCCTGGCTTAATTCACCTCGCAGGCATCTGCTGGGAATAAGTGCGACACGTTCGCCATGAAAGACGCCATGTCGGCATTTCTCATGCGTTCTCGTCCCAACACTCGATAAGCATTCCGCGCAACAAACTTACAGAGGTTTCGGCCCACATACTGCCGTGTCGCGCAATGACTGGAGAAGCCCAACTTGTGGGTCCTTCATCAGCTTGGGGCTCTTGCAAAAAGCGTTTTTTGCCATCGCAATCTCCAATGGCTTTGCCGGCAGGGCTTTTGCCACTCGGAGCAACATAAGAAGCAGTTTTTCAAGGAAGGTACCCTACCAACGCCATTGTGTGCTGACTTCCATGGGTTTGCCACTGTGAAGGCCACGCTTGGCACTCAAACACGTTGCCAATCTTCATGCAGGACGCCACTTCACATGTTCATTCCACGGCATTGGTATCAGTTACTTTCCGGCATCGTCATATGATTCTCCGGCCCCCTCATCCTTTTAAGCATATCAAAGAACAGCAGGGTTGTGCTTTTGTGACGGAGGGCCTTTCTGATGAGGGGCTTCCCGCTATCATAGTGGGAAAAGGACCTTAATTGATTGACACATTCCTGAAAGCTAGTGTATCTCATAGCGCTTAGCTCTTCAGGGCTTGGGGGCAACTCATAGGCCGCTTCTTTTCCAGCAGACGCCTGCCTGGCACAGATATGCATAGAGATCCAACCAATGGGAGGGGCTCCGTGGCCGGACAAGCCATGGCTGGCCGGGAAGGTCATCGTGGTGTTCTGCCAAGAAGGGACGGACAAAAGGGTGCTGGGCAGTGAGGGAATGCTCCGGTTGATGGTTCCCTGAAAATGGGTTGGCATTTTGTTGCAAAGGGGATGGCTGTTTTGGTGGTGGGGCATGCTGTAGCTTGGCGATGGCAGCAGACAAGCATATTTTGGGCCCGGCAAGTGTCAGTGCTATTCGAGCAGAGCGGGCGGATTTGGGAGAATCACGCAGGATCCAGGCCTTTGCAAAGCTTTTTCTTGTCACTTGTGGATTTTACTAGCCCCGGTTGCTCAGTGGCAACCTTTTTGCCGTTGTTTGGTTTGGCGGATTTTTAAGTGGTAAACCTCAACCGTCCAGGCGTCCTTGGCTTGTACCGCGGCCTGGGCCCCACGCTTCTGGGCATTCTGCCGCACGCGGGCACCAGCGCCTGGGGCGAAACGAAGGGAGGTGGGGACGGTGTGGGGTGGAGTTTGAGACTCGGTTTGCCAGGATTTGGGAAACGGCGCCTGTTACTCGAAAACAGTTCTTCGGTCTCTTGGTGTGACCCGATTTAGTGCTCTACCGGAGTTGGCGACGACACCTGGTTCTGGCACCCAACGGAGATTACTCTCCAGGCCTGTTGAAGGTGGATTTGTGGTGCACACATCTTGCTCTGCACATTACACACCAGCCCTGCGGTTGCCACACCAGCACGACTCACCACACTGCGTGCGTGGCCGCGAGTTTCAATTTTGGTGGATTCGCGGATCATCCCAACACAATCATGAGGAATACAGCACCCTTGGGCATCAAGTAAATTCTCTGGGATGCCTAACGCATGTTCAAACAACAGAACGCATTCCGAAATTCCTTGCAGCATCTAAATGCAGCCTGGCGCATCGTTTCGGAGACCAAGGTAGCCTCTGGCCGGGCATCCCAACCATCTTCCAAGGTGGTCCTTTTGCCACCCCTTCAGGGGGCCTCGCAGGACTACTCGGTTATCTCCGACCGGAATTGTCCCGTTTGCAAGCGTCAACTTGCAGAATCCAGCAGTTGATCAACGCCTTTCCACATGTACGGAATGAGCTGGTGGCTTCAATCATCTCCCCACCACCCCTCTGCAAACTGCGTCGAGTTTTTCCCAAGCTCTCGAGTCTGCGGGTGGCTGTTCTGCTTCAGCCCCAGGTCCTCTCAGGGGCTGTTGTTTGGCAGCCTGGCATGCCTCCAAGAGGAAGCCTACACTTTACAGGGTGTTTAAAGGATACATGGGCCAGTTCAGGCATCAGCTGAGTTAGAGGAGCCCCTTGTAGCGCAGGTGGTTGTTGGATCTATCCTTTCACTCGTCTCTGCCGTGTCTCCCAGAGGGTTCTTCACTCAGCATTTTAGGTTGGCCATGGCAGGCTGACAGCAGCATCTGCACTAAAGGCGCCAATGTCGAAATAATACTCGTCAAAACTTGCGTGACTTGCCAATTGCCAATCCAGGTGAGACAAAGCGAACGCGTACCTTGGAAACAATTTCAATGCAAGAGGGGTCATGGATAGATGCCCGACTAGCAAATGCCGCGCCTGGCAAGCTGGACCTGTGACCAACTGAGGCATGTCCTGGTCTGGAAATGGCCAGTAAAAACGATGACCGCCGATGACCGCAGTGTCCAAGACACCTTTTGCCGTCCCCAAGGAAGACCACGGTCCAGCCATTTGGGAACCCCTTTCGTTCATTTGTTTCCATGAACAAGTGCAAGGAAATATGGAAACCACCCTTGCACCTGGCGACTCATTGGCATGAGCTTCCCGAGCACCCGAACCTATGGCGGGAGCTCATTTGCAGCAAGCCACACACGAAGCCGGAGGACGAATACTGCGTGAAGGGGTCGAGTACCAACACCCAATACGATGGCGTGCACCCTCGGGATGGCGAGACGTATGCGGACTGCTGCAGTGAGGCTCAATTCAAGAGCATCAGCAACTGTCTGTTTTGAGAGCACGGATAGCTTCGTTTTCAGCAGCGCTGAAGCAATTTGCACTGCTTTGGTAGCCATTCGTCGAGTCATCATGCCTTGAGCGCGCGACCATGTCACGCTTCGACAAAGGGGGCGCTTGCATTTCGCGACAAGGGACTTTCCCCGATGAAAAGGGTTCCTTCTTTGGTCAGCTTGCTGCATGTGCGCCTTGAATCTGAGGCTTTTTGGTCTTCGAGACGCTGAAGCCGCACTTTTCCAGCCTCCTGGGCCTTCGCTCAGAGCGCCGTTGGGCTGCACCACCACAGCCATAAATCAGAGGCAGTCCTTGGACCTTGTTGCCTCCGAAGGTCGTCTTTGGGCCAGTTCTTGCAGGGGGGGTGCTAGAACGTAAGAATCCAGAGTAAAGGTACTCTTTTGAGTGCGTCGGAGTAGTCTCATCACTTTCATCCCTGTCCAAGCAACGGTTTCGCCATGCCATCAGGCTTGTTCTTGTTGGGAGGCATGCGCATCCTGAACCGCGGCCTTGGGCTGGGCTCGGAGCATTGAGGCCCCAGCAAGCCGAGGCGACTTGCCCATTGTGGGCCGTTTGCTGGCGGGTGCCCTTGCCGGGCTCGTGGCACAGGGCGCCTCCTACCCGCTGCATGCATCCTAGGCAGTGAGATGGGATCCAGTTTTTGTTTTGCCTCTTGCGTGTGTTTTTAGTCTTTGGGGGTTGGTAAGCTGGAGCTTGCATATTTGACTTGTCTTCGGATTTCTGCACACTCTCCCTCCATTGATCCACCCCATGAACCCCGCCGGATTCCCAAATCCAATGGCTGGATTCTGAGTTGGAGTGGCTTTATAATTCATGGCCATTTGGTTGGCCGCCGATGTCTATCCTAGTGTCAGTGATTTGCGACACAGAGTTCCCACACAAAGGGCATGAGGAGACACACATGCACACAAGGCATGAGGATTCCTTTCAAGAGAAGCGCCATTTCCCAGATCTGACAAGTTTGACCTTACAAACCGGACTTCTCTCTTCGGTGTTCGCCGGGCGCCTGACTCTTGGGCTGCTCAGGTAGTGCGGCGTCGGATGCAGGTGCAAAGCTGCCTGCAACACAGCAGCAAGCGCCTGGGCAGCCAGCTTTTCGAGGGCGTGGTGTTGCTCCTTCTTTGGCTGGCCGGTATTTGCATAGTTGGCTGCTAGGGTTCACCAAGGTAAGGTGGAACTCAACGTGTTCCCACCGGGACCGATTTCACAAATGTCTCTTATGAAAGATGAATTGGAGTCTGCGGGTAATTAGATCGAAAAAAGACAGTAATAATAACCCAAAGACACTGCAGTTATTGGCGGAAGGCCTTCCAGTTGGAGGGATGTTTGGTCGCCAGAAGTTGCTCATGAGGCTGGCAGCTTGAGTCGATTTCTGGCAGCTTAAGTCGATAAAACCTTGGCGGATTCACATGGACACCTGGAATACTTGGTTCGGACGCCAATCAGCTTGACTTGCGGCCTAAATGCAGGACCAAAATAAGTAGCCGTCCTTTCGCGGACATTGTTAGCAAGAAACGGGGCCCTGGCAATCGCTTTGATCAGGGCTTATGATCCAATTGATCTTAGTGACCAACACGTATTCACTGGCGCAATGGATCAAAGCAACACAGGTGCCCCCGATCAACGCCATGCCTCTGAGATCAACACAGCACTCGTTGTTGCAATTTCCATGGCTGTCAAAGCAACTCTGTTGTTTTGCTCTGGGGATTCTGCTGTTTGCCTGTTGCCAGTGGAAGGTACCACTCGGTGCTACACGCACTGGTGACCATTTTGCGCACCGAGGGCTTCGTGCAGCCCGGCAAGTCAGTGAGGCGGGAGGCTCCAAATGGAGTTTTGGGTTGCTTCCCCATTCAGCAGAAGCGAACCCCTCACTACTAAGTCACTACCAAGACTTCAGCTGCAACACGGTTTGGGGACACGCCGCTTTTCTATAGCCAAGGAAGGGCCTCTACAAAGGCAGCTCCCTGACGCTGATCAAGGGCCCTTTGTCGGCAGCCTGTGGGTTCACCACCAACGACGCCTGGCTGGTAGGTCTGGACGCTCCTGGCAGACCAGTTGAGCAGGTTGGTACTTTGCCCTTTGGTTTTGGAGAGGAGCGTTCTGGACTTGATTACGGCGCGTCTGGTTGCTTGCACAGGGCGTTCGATTCTACTCCCATGTGAATCCGCCAGACGTGTGAGCCCGGTCTCGTCATTGCTGAGTACAGTATATGTTTGAAATTATGGGCCTCTAGAGCAGGATCTAACCAGAAGAGCATTGCATATTCGGTTTGAATGAGCACAGCATTACGAAGTGGTTTCCTAGGCGGTGCGGAAGCGAACCAATTAGCAGAGCCAAGATGCCTTTTTCCTATCCCTTGGCCGCGGGAGGTCGGAGGTGCAATTCGATTGATGGTGCTGGAAGTTGGATAGGACAATTGCTAGGGTCAGGTGTGCAATATCTGGAAGTAATTGGTGACATGCTTGCTGGGTACTCCTCGCATGCACCTTGCACCAAACTCCGAATCGACTGAACTTTACATGCATTTTCGGGGGCGCTTTGTCGTGGGGAGTGCCCAGAATGTCCAGCGACCTTGGCCACCAAGGACTTTCTGAAGGCTTTCCTCCTGGGGAGCGCCGGAGATCCCGAGCTCTGCCCTCCTGGCGGCTGGCCGGACGGCTGTGAGGCGCCGGAATGTTGGGGTCAGGGGAGGTGTGCAGCACGTCTGGGGGAGCCCAGGCAAGGCTTTGAATGTCTTGGATTTTGTTTGATCTCTCATTTCTTATCGCAAGGAGCAAGGAGGCGATACGCCGCCTGAATGGATATCGCCACTAGGCTTTGCAGCAGGCACCCGCACCAAGTTCCGAGGCACTCCAGAGGTGTATGGAAATGGTTCTGAGGGGGGATCTGCCAGTTGCTGCGAGGTGGTGCGTGACCCCAGCCGGGCTTTGAATCAGCTCACGCCCATCGAGCACCTTATTTCTGGGGGAGTTGCAGGCGCGCGAGCGTCACGCCAGCCAAGGTTTACCCTTGCTGGCGCATTTAGGTTGGCCTGGGGTGCAAGTCATGGGAAGGGCCCCTCGTCCGAAAACGGGCACCCCCTAGGAAGTAGTCAACGTGCTCAACATCTCTAAGCATTTGACAGTGACAGGACTTGCATTTCTTGGTTGAAGCTGTTGCCGTGCGGGTTGATTGCTGCAAGAAGCACTTGCCTATATGGTCCAAGCAATTTGCTTGTGATGCAGGTCGTGCTCTCACACATGCACACACGGCAACCAGGGCCGGCTGGGTTTTAATTGGTTGGATAGACTCGTTTTTTTTCAGTTTCCTTTGCAGACATCACATCTCAAAGCAGCAAGCCAACAATGAGCCACCAAAGATCGGTTCAAATGGCCGTGTTTGATGCAAGAGTTGCTAAGCTTAGCCTAGTGCTTCAGGAGGCGTAGGCGCTAAAGGGATCCGACAGAGCAGCGAGCAGCGCCAGAGGCCCAAGGATCTTTACTCTTGGGTGCAATGGAAGACCGGTTACCCGTGGTACGGCTTTAGGAATTGAAGGCTGCGTCCCCAGGAAGGCCTAACTAAGGGAATCACCGGGCGTGGTATTCCCCGAAGATTGCATGTTTTGCTCGATGACTCGCTTCTGCCTGCAATCCAGTTTGGGGCCATTGGAATTGCTGGCTGCGCAACGGGAACCGCCTTTTGTGACTATGCATGGGAACCTGCCACCCCAAAACACCCTTCCAAATGAGCAACCATGATCAGGATCATCGTGGGTTTATGATTGTTTGTTGAAAGCGCATGGGCAACACGCTCAATTACCACTGGTCACTGGAGGTTTCATGTTCTCGCGGCATTGGCTTAAGTCATTACTTCCGCAGGGACTTTGATACATGACTGCCACCTGGCCACTATAAACCTATATGTCTTGCCTTTGGTGGTTAGGCTGCGGTTACAAATTCAATGGGGTATGCTTCGGCTGGCGTGATGTTACAGTGTTGAAAAGGGGCACATGTGATGATACGGCTTTTGTTCAAGCCAAGCCCGCGAACATGGGTAGTTGGGCTTTGGCTCGAAGAGGCGCAGTTGCCAAGACGGTGATCGCGCCGGCGGATCGCATCAAGCCGCTTGGGCAGAGAAATGGCAACTTTGGCGGCATGTGTTCCTGGGAACCCTTGAGAGGAAACCAAAAGGATTGACGAGGATGCTGATAATTATGACGAGGACGGCTTTAAAGCTCCAGTGGTTGTCACATGTCTAAACAGTAGATAACAGGTGGCTGGCCAAACGTCGCAATTGAACACTGTCCATTTGTGGGTCTTATGCCAGCGACTCATGTCAGTTTTTACAAAGGGTGGACAACATCAGCAACCCTCATGGGCCCATAGGGCCCTGCCCTTTTCCTGCAACAGTCACGGCATGCTGCTGTCCACCGTCCATTTGCAGCCAGGGCCGTTGCGTGATGGAGGCCTTTTTTTTTTTTTTTGGTCTTTCGACATCCATTGGATTGTTGCAGGCTGGGGCGCTTGAGCTTGTCTTGGGCCCATAAGCCAAAACAGCTTTTTGGCCATTACTGAAGCTTGTTCTTGAGTTGACAGTTTCTTTGCTTGGGTTGGGGTGGTTGTGCCAAGCATTGACCTTCCCAAAAGGGTTCCTGGCCTTGAAACATACCATTGTTTGCTGTTGCCGCGGTGTGATTCATTCTGACAGCTGTGGCTTTTGGACCCCTGGTGTGAAGCTCTCATCTGTACATATTTGGCATATTTGCATCGGCATTTAGAAACAGCGGCAGGGTGGGGTGGCAAGGCACACGTCCACGGACCTCGAACCCCGCGAATCCCTTTTGACAAGATGCGGTGTTTATGGGCAAGTTTGGCAGGAGGGGAGCCACCCCAGTTTGCTCACGAAGAAAAGCTCCGTCATATCCCAGTTCCATTTGGGAGGTGGCCGCGACAAATGTTGGCCTTCCTCTTTCGGCTTTCTGCCTTCGGATGCTTTCGGCTTTGGTGCTGGCCCAGGATCCTCTACCAGACCAACTCCAACCGTGCCTTCTCCTGGAGAGGGGCTTCTTGGCTAGTTCCTGGGCACTGGCGACGCTGGGCATGTTGGTTGCCATAATGAGTGGGTCACGCCACTGGTGACGTCCATCTTGGTTTCCACTCATTTGGATTTGTTTGGGATTCTTTCTTTAGCTGATGCTGCTCCGTTATACCACACAGAACGCCATGCAGTAATGCAGTAGACGCTCAGGTTCGGAGGACGCGCCTTGGATGAATGTGAGGGCCAGGGGAGGCGCATGGGCTGTTCCAAGGGTGCGGTCACCGCGGTCCTGCCGACTTTTGCATGCAGTGCCACTGCCTTTGCCAAGGTAGCTCTCGCTTGCGACAGTGGAAAGGATAGCTTGGCAGTCCTGTCGTGTTGTTGCCGAATGACAACGTTCATTTCACGGAACCTACGGTAAATTACAGGCCTCGTCAGACCAGCTGAAGCGGGGGTGATTTGCGAAATGTGTTCTTCTGCCAGAAAGGTTCAACACCATCTTCCAGAACACAGGCATCACCGGGCTTTGGCGGGGCCACTGCGCCTCTCAGCTCAACATGCAGATGCGGTAGTGTCAGCAGTCAGTTGGATGCAGTAGTGCCAGCAGTCAGTTGGCTGAGAGCCCGTAACTCTCCCAAAGTAGCAGGCACTTGGCACTGATGAAGCCATGCCTCGCTCCCACATGATCGATAGGCTCGAATTGAATTGATGTTTTGACATGTTTACCTTGTAAAAGTTGGGGTCCATGGGCGCTACCTACAAAGACAAATCCCCTTTTCAAGTGCAACTTGCTCCAGGTACTCATTGAGGCCTTGAGGGGCCTTTTTCCTTTTTCTGCCGACTGGTCACAACCCGAGCCAACCCAAATCAGATCCTGCGACTCTGGAGGCCACCCTGATGCAAGTGATTCCGAAGGCTGCGACCACGTACACGACCTTTGACAGGCGGGTGGCGGCGGTAGTGTCAGCATGTTCCGGCTCGACTGGAGCTGAGTCCAGCAGAATTCAGATAAAGATACATTTTTTTTAAACCCATACCCTTTTGCAGCGTGGCGCTGTTGTTGGAAGGCGTGACACTTTCCACGGTTCGGACGCAAACCACCTTGCACTAGCAGCAAGGACGCACATGGGCATGCCTTGGCTGGCTCTAAAATTCTGCAGGTATGTTCACTGCTGGCAGTCTTTGGCATCACAGTGTTGGGACATGGAAAATGGCATGCCGAAATGCACGCATTTCTCGCGTTGACAAGTTGTGATGTCCTGGCGCAGGTACCGTCACTGGATCTCTGATTCGACTGCCGCCTGTCCAGTGTCCAAAGTTTTAGAAGGTGGCATGTTTTCATGTTCAGGCTATTCTGGGTCTGTATGGCTGGTCATGTTGCTTTGGGAATGCCAGTTGTTGTTGTTTTTGAGGCGGCAGAATGCCGCCAGTCCAGTGCTTGGCTGGCTTAGGCCCACTGTTTGAAGGCAGGCTGGCGATGGCTCACCCATCGCAATTTGGATACTAAGGGCCAACTTACACACCACAAATGTCGGAAATACCACACCTTAGGCCTGTATAGGGACAGCTTTTGGGGTATGTACCCTGTATACCGTATAGCCCATGCAGATGTTCGATCCTCCAAATCCCCACTTTACACGCATTTGCACGCCATTCCGAGTCCTTGGACAACGTGACCACCCGCTTTCTGGCTGGTGCCGCGGCGGGCGCCACTGCCACGGGGCTCACTTATCCGCTGCCTGGCAGCATGTGCCGGGGCTTGCGTGGCATGGCGCCGTGAAAGTGGGGCCGTGTCGACTCCAGGGACCTGCCCAACAGTCAGTTGGTTTGAGCCCCTGCCCCGCTTTTCCTTGTAGAATAAGGCACGCCAAGTGTCCTGCTTGTGGCACCTGGGGTTTGGTGGGGTAGGTTGGCCGTTCTGGGTGGGCAGTCTGTGGGCTTCAGGCTATGGATGATTGGCTGCGTTGCAGCGGGCCCACATCCCATTGCCTCTGCCTATTTTATAGCGAGCTCACTGGGGCTATAACGAGCTGACCATGAGAAAGGTCGTTTACTTGTGAATCTCAAAATTCGGCTTTGGGAGTTATAATAAACAAATGCAGATTGCCTGTAGGGATATTCCATGTAGGGGCTGGCAGGCTGGGCCGCAAAAGTGCTATTGAATTGTTTAGATGAATCGGGCATTGTTCGAGCGTATTCGATCAGATAGGTGCGGTCCTGAGTCCTGTTGCTCCCCGAGGTTGGACATGATGAGGGCGCGGATGGCGGCGCATTGGGATATGACTGGGCGTCGGCTTGAATTTTGCTCGCTTGAGTTCAGCCTGCCTGGAGAACATGCAGAAGCACATACCCAAGCTTGGAAGTATCTCGCGGCCTTTGAATGGGTTCTCCCCGCCCACGAAGTTACACAGAGCCCTTTTCGACAGCATGTATTTGTGACATGCAATCACGAAAGCTTGCTTTTTAGCTGGAGCCTCTCTGACTTTAGCAAGTAGCGGGGCCAGTGAATCTCACTGCCCTCCGCGCCACACTTCGGCTCTTCGCTCCGCTCTGCTCCCCGCTCTTCTTCCTTTTCGCTCGGCTCTCCTCCGCTCTTTGCCCAGTCTTCGCTCCGCTCTTTTCTTTGCGCTTCTCTCTGCTCTTTTGCCAACTCTTCGCTGCGCTCTTCTCTTCGCGATCTTGACCCGCTCTTCTTCCCAGGTCTTCGCTCCGCTCTTCTGCCCACTCCTCTCTCCGGCCTCCGCTCCGCTCTTTCCTCCTTTCTGTCCCGCTCTTAAAACATTTGCTTTGATTGCACTCTGCTGCGTGTTTTGAGCGTGGTTCCTTGACATGGCTTTTTGCCGCCCTGGCGCGGACGCTAGCTTTCGTTTGCCTCCCCTGACCTCTAAGTGCATTGTAACGCTGTCTTGCAGGGTTGGCGATCTTACCAGCTACTGGCCCATTGCGAGCGCGCATTCAACTTTTTAATTTGCGCATGGGTTGCGAGCGGCACAACGTTCAACGATACCTACGTGGGATGCAACTAATATGCAGCATGGTCGTTTCGCGATCGCATGGGGTTCTGATGATTACGTGTGCAGTTGCTGTGTTTATTTCAATGCGCGAGCCACGGGTAATGCGTCCTGGCATGTTCTGTGCCGCTATGTGGGATCGATAGCCGACAACCTAGCGACAACCAGCTTTGGTCAAATTGATGCTTGAGAGCTGAATCCTTCTCCCCTTTGCACGCCGAGATTTACAGGTTCCCACTTCCAATCTGGGTCAACGTCACTCTTTTGGAGCCCACCCCGTGATGCCTTTCAGAATGGCAGAGTCAACGTGCCGGGGGTTCGCCGGGAAAAACCCGTGAGGACGCCGAGATATCCCAACTACTTCGCAGCTTTTGAGCGTGTGCTCCAGGAGCTTGAGTTGCTTGAGGCTTCAGGTATTGGGGCTCGCCCTGGGCCCTTGGGCTTGACTCCGGGGCATTGCGCAGTGAAGTGTTTGAGGACCTTCTATCAGTGATCTCTCAGCACAGGCAAGCAAGTAACGAAGGGCTTCAAGCCTTCAAAGCAGCGCTTGACTCACCATCCTTCGGCTGCGCCCGCGGACGCCTCCCTACCTGTTGAATCTTGTTGAAGGGCTGGATGAAACAACTATGCAAAGATTAGGGGCTTTAAATCCGGGACACTCAGTACCGCAACATGCTTGGGGAACAGTCGTTGATCTTGAGGGATTGTTTTTACTGGATATTCCTGGATCCTCCAGGATGCCGATCCGCTAAAGCTGGGCTAGCATGCGACATCAGACAGCCCTGTAGGCACAAAATGATGCCTATCATCTTTGCGGGTGTTTGCTTGGTTGGCTTTCTGGACGTTTGGCTGGATATGTGGCTTTCTTTGGCGAGGAGGAGGGCGTCTCTTCCCTCTACAAGGGCATTCGGCCCACCCTGCTGGGCATCATGCCCTATGCCCCTGGGCCAAACGAAGCGAAATCGCCAGGGGGTAGCAGCGAGGCGCCCTTCTGATTCTTGAAGGTCGTGGTGCCACAGCACAGTTTGACCGTTGCCTGTTTTTGTCAATGGGGCGAAAAGGGGGTGAGTCACTCAACAGCAGGAAGTCGCCGAAGCTCGGAGGGTTTGACAAGGTTTCCAGAGATGGTTGGCTCTACAGAGTGCTTCACGGTTGTTTTTTTTGGGCGAAGCTGCTTGCTTTGCAAGTTTGCAATCATTTTGCCTTCGCAGAACTTTGCACCTTGCCCTTTCCCTTTTACCCCATCATTGTTGCTCTCTGCGTTTCATGGATCAAACCAGCCTCCACTAGAAAACTAGTATACGTAGAACTTTGGCTTGGACACATGTTCTTACTTGCGTTCTGCACAAGGCGACGCAAGAGCACAGCCCGTCCCGTTTTGGCAAGCAGGATCCTAGCACCCCGCACCTCTACCCAGAAGTCGCGCGGCGACAGCCTCCACGCCCGAGGCCGGGCTTAGCTTTATGGCCTACGAGACTCTGAAGGCTCACCTCGCCCAGGACGATGATTTGCCCTCGTCGCAGCGCTTGCCCTTTGGCTTGGGGAGGTCTAGTTCCTCGCAGGTACAGCTGGGATTTGGGAAGGGCACGGCTATTGGTGGGGGAGAGGTGGGCAGGTGGGAAGGGGCTCACAAGGCTGACGGCCACATTGCGGGAGCCATGATGCCGGATTGTAAGCTTTGCTGGATGCTGTTTGCTGGCTGCACGGCCAGGTTTCCGCGCAGACGGCATATCCACGTTATGTACGCCGTGTTGGGCATGATCTTGTTGCCTCGTGCAGGGGCAAACGGCAAGCATCCCACCAGCTGGAACTCCTCCAAATGGCTGCTCTTCATGTTGAGCTCTTTTGCAAGAGATCCCCAGACGGATCCCTACCAGGCAGAAATATGACGCTCAAGCCCTGGTTGGTCCATGGTGAAACCTGGAGTTGCGCCGTGCCTCCAATCCCAGGTTTTGCGGCGCCTGCGCAGGCCCGTGACCCTGGGCGGGTCGGTAGACTTCACTCAGTGCCGAGTCAGGTGGAGTAAGAGGGCCGTGAAAGGCTTGAGTGGGGGAATTCACATGTGCCCCAGACGGGCCTCCAGCTGAATTGGGAACCCAGGAGTCTGCTTCGAACCGAAGATCCCAACGGACGGCCTCGAACTGCATGGAACCATTGCACCAAGTTCCCAGGTTCACAGGGGTATGTGTGCCTACTTCTGTTTGAGGTTATGATGGTATGTGCGGTTTTTGCGCTGTTTCAAAATGGGGTTCCGTATCCCATTTCGAGACAAGCGCATGTATGGACCTGCCTCCTCGAGCAGGCGTCTTCGCCCAGTCCACTACGTACCCGCTGGACATCATCCGGCGCAGGATGCAGGTGCTGCGAAGCACTTGCCAAAATGACTTTGGAGAGATATGCGAGCCACTTCACTTGAATCCAGAATTACTATTTTCATTCGTATCCCCAATTATTAGCGGATTGCGGATTATGCAGTTTACGGGTTGGACTGTGTGCTTTGCCGATTGCGGAGTATCGGTTGCATGGGCTTTTCATGCTCCAGCATAAGGTTCAATTCACACTTTGAGCACGCATCGCGGATTAAGAAGATTGCCAACCAGAGCAAGGACTAAGTGGAGTAAATTGTGATTGGGCCCCAATGAATTTCCAACAGGCTATGCTACATAAGACATTTACCTTCTTGTTGATCATGCGATGCACATGTATAGCTTTGTAGCTGTTGTTGGCCTGGCCGCTAGTGCCGACGAGTGCCAACAACCCTGCTTGTTCAGCAGGCGAGAATACCGGCAGAGGCGAGAGAAGGCTGGGTTCACAAGTTGGTTGCCGCTGGCCTTCCCTAGGGCAGGGCCTCAACCCATATGCCACGCCTCAGGTGCATCCTGGACTCTACCGCAACGAGTGGCACGCCTTCTGCGCCCCGTCCGCCTTGGTCGGTGCAACCGGTCGTTGGGATGGTGGGAACACAGCCCAGCCTTGGGCATCCTTTAGTGTGCCCTTTTTTGTCGTTTGGAGAGCGGGCTTTGAAAACAGTTGCCAAACGAAGGATGCACTTTTGTTTCAATGTCTTTCCCATGGCCACTGGATGTCTGGGAAACTGCCCAATCGCTTTCCGCCATTGCGAAGCGGCCGAGTTTCCAGTACCTCTTTCCCTTTGAATTTGTTTGAGCAGATCCCGGCAATCGCAGCGTCTTCACCATTTGTGGTGATTAGTATGCCATGCCCCTCCCATTCAGCAGAGTTTCGTTTTGTGTGCATGCTCTCGACTTGCCATTGAACATGCCGCAATCCGACAATGATGCGATTGCGCTCTCATGTGCCACAAGATAACTTGCACGTGTGCATCTCACTGTGGATTGCAATGGACATGGTCAATTGCGCAAAGTGCTGGTGGCGGCGGCGGTGGTGGTGGAGGTGGAGGAGGTGGCGGAGGTGGAGGTGATGGTGGTGGCGACGCGGTGACGATAGCGTATGCAGGTGTCCGCTCAAGTGTAAAACAAGGTATATTGCTAGTGCGCCACTTGCATTGGTCTGCACATTGTGCGACCGAATTCTTCCCTGCACCATGCTGCGTTCAGGGGAACGGGGTACACCTCATCCTCTGTCTTGTGGCTATACGGTTGCTGTGTATCCCAGCAATCCCTCAGAGCAATATTTGGGGAGTGGGCCAGTTGCTACCGAATTAGTGCTGTCTTTGTTGGAGATTCCTGGCCAAGAGCGCTCCCAATTTTGGCCCTGCGGGATAGCACTAGAGAGAGAAAGCGAGAGAGAGAGAGAGAGAGAGTGGTTTGGGGAAGCACTAGGGCGCTTTTTCCGCCGAGCCACAAATCAAACTACCTGAGTTGAGCTCAGGGGCGATCTGCAGCTCGGAGGGCCTGGTCGGGGGCCTCTTCAAGGGCGTCTCCATGAATTGGATCAAGGGGCCAGTGGCGCCGGAGCTGCAAGCCCAAGTGGACATGTTAGGGGGCAGCCTTCCCTAGAAAAAGCCTAGAGTACAGTTCCATGATTGATATCTAGTTGAGTTTCTGTTTGGTGATGTCATTCTTTGCTGATTGTAAATACTAATTGGCCAGGTTTCATCCGGAAGCTTGCTGGTGCCCCCATGCCATTTCAGGTGTTTCGCGAAAGGGGAAGGGACCTAGGACAACACTTTCGTTACTGGCTGAAATATCAATTAAATAGAACTGCGGCAAGTGTTCTGATTCTGAAGTTGCGCGTCGGGAGAGAGAAGGAAGGAAGGAAGGAAGGAAGGAAGGAAGGAAGGAAGGAAGGAGGAAGGAAGGAAGGAAGGAAGGAAGGAAGGAAGGAAGGAAGGAAGGAAGGAAGGAAGGAAGGAAGGAAGGAAGGAAGGAAGGAAGGAAGGAAGGAAGGAAGGAAGGAAGGAAGGAAGGAAGGAAGGAAGGAAGGAAGGAAGGAACGTGTTTTTACAGATTGGCACCATTGCAGGTAAGAGAGAACTTGGCCGCCAATCCTTTCATCGTTTGGGAGGAGAGCTGGCTTTGGGAAGGTGCCCTTGCATTGCTGCCCGCACTCCAGTCAAACGGAACCTGGCGTGGGTACCTTAAATGGCAGCGCATGTTTCTAGTTGTGTTGCAACCCCCCAGATGTCACTGGTGGTTCAGTTTTGGCCCATCTGTTTCAAGAGCCTGGTGGCTTTCAGGAAACCCCTGAAGCTCTCGGATTTGAACAGGGCTCAGGTGGTTCTCTATGACAGCGGTTGTTGGGACCCTTGTTGGGAACGGCCATGAACCACCATCCCTGACACAATGGTCATATGTTGTGCCATGGTCAAAAGAAATAGCGGTGAAGACTGGAAGTCGTCATGAGATCCATGCTGATTGCTTCTTGGGTCCGTCGTTGCTTGGCCAGAGGACTGTGGAGATCTTTGTTGTTGACTTTTTACTGCCCGATGCGAGGCAGCCTATGCGAATCGCTTTGCAGCACAAATGCCTCAGACATGTGGGCAAGTGTTGCTTTTTGTTTGCTTGTTTGGTTTGTAAAACGTGGGTGTGGCCATGAACACCCCCAAATGAGAACTGTAGTCATCAGAATGACGCCCCTGTGTTCTCCATAGGTCCATGCACAGATCCTCTGTTTTTGGGTTTCCATTGCCAGGCTGCCAAGTGAGTGATCCATGTCTCCGTGCCTAGGCCGTAGGCGTGTCCTTCACGGCACCTCGGCGGAAAGTAGATCACATAGAACGCTCGGGCGCAAAGTGAGAAGAGTCGTGCACCCAAACGACCCATTGATGCCTATGCTTGAAGGATGGCTCTGCCGATGTGAGACTTGCCGGCCTGTTGGTGCTAAGGGATCACAGCATCGCATGTATTGCGGGCCGGCTCACTGAGTTTGTTGCCAACTGCAAAGTGTTGCACACACCTTCATGCAGGTCAGAGGTTGTGATTCTGGTGTCATACCTTCTTGCCAGGGTGTTGCTTGTTCGCTTTTGCAGTTGGATGCTCAACATGGGACCTTGTGATTCAGGTTTCAGGCATGCTCTCTCAAGCGCAACCTGTTTTACTGAGGTGAACGATCTTTTGAAGAAGCACTTGGCGCAGATGTGAGGCGGCTTGCTACCCATTTGCCCACTGCTTCCCATCTGCAGCCTGAAGCCGCCCGAGCATCCACTAGAGCTTTAGTTCGCAGTGTCGTGTGGTTCTCGTGCAGTGTGCAGCTTTCTGCACATTTTTCCCCCACTGGTAGGTGAACACATGTTACTGTGCGCTGGGATTGCATACGTTCGAAATGTCGGTTGGTGCGGTCTTTCAGCTGCCTACCCACAGATACCTTTTAAAGCGTGCTCCCTCGAGGGGCTTTCCCTGCAGAGTGCGATCATCGATCGCCTGCGGCGATGAAAGGCCAAAGACGCCGAAGTCGCTAATAGCAATCGGTCCGGCTGCTGCTTGCGCGCTGCTGCCTTCCATGCTCATCATAGCCTTGGCTTTCTTCATGAGAAGCACCACAGGGTCTTTTCAACATCCGGCTTAACCATCACTGCCCTTGCAGGGCCAACGCGAGAAGTGCATGTTGCAAGCAATGCATTAAGCATTCTGCCTTAGGCAATGTGTGTGCGTGTCTTGAAGCGTCATGGTTTGCCTATGAAAGTTGGCCTGAACCAGTGTGTTTTGAAGTCGAAGTGGTGATTGAGGCAACCATGGCGTGATGACTCTTTATGTTTGATCCCAGGGGGGCTAGGACTGAAACAGACAAAGCAGAGGATTTGTGAGGACAGAGGTGCATAGACATTGCAGCATACCCTTGTTTGCATATGTGATTGTCCTGATGTTCAATGGCCCCCTTCGCAACACTGGCCATTCCCTGTCGGACCTGCAGTACAAGCAAAGGTGGAGTCCAGTATATCAGGTGGTGATATGACTTTGAACAGCTTGCCTCCTCCGGCAACAGCAGTCGCGTGCCTCAGTCATCGCCACTGACTCGCTGTGCGAGCGGCAGGAAAAAGCAAGCGGCCCAGGTGGTAGTCTTGTTGCTTCTCCCGGTGGATCCCAATGAACACATTGGCACTATGGTCGGCAACCAGGCGTTTGCCATTTTTTGAAGGGTGGTTCGCTGGTTGCCTAGCATGTAAATGCGGCTCAAGATGGATTGCGGCTTTGCCTGGCTTCTTTCCTAAATTGCTCGACCTCCCCTTCTTGCTGAGTGCGGGGATGCCATGTATGGGATGTTCGCAAGGGGGGAAACGACCAGAATGGAAGCTCGCCACTGTGGATGGCAGACTTGCCCTTCAAAGCCAGCAAAACGGCAGACCAGAGCGTGACACCACACAGCAGCATCGCCTTCGCACCATACATCAGGTCCACCCTCTTCTGCCCTGAGCATCCCAGGCATGGACTTCAATGAATCCTTATGCCCATAAGTGGTGCTCGATGCTCAGGCATGCGCAGACGAAACTGAAGAGGCTGGACCCCGGCAGGGTGTGCCAAGAGGCGGCTGGGGATGGATTTTCGGTTTGCGCTTGGAGAAGGATACCCAAACCGGGGGCCTTGGTGGCTTCGGTTTTCGAGGACCTACGGCGGTTTGCCCCACTTCTTTCATGAGGCCGTGCATTAAGATCGTGGATGACCAGACCTGGTCACCAGCCACCTTGCAGATGAAACCCTGCAGTCACAAGCACAAATTAGTTTGCATATTCAGGGCTGAGGCTCAATTCAGGCAGAACATGAGAATCATTGCTTGTTCACAAGGCGTTGCTGGTGGCCCTGCTGCAGCTGCAGACCCGGCACCCACAACACATGAACACATGTATGTCAATGTATGCGAGTACGCCCCGGCATGTCTCAGGAAGCATGCAGAGGGACGGATGAGGCAATGAACGGCATGACAGGACGACGCCTTCCTATTCCGTCGCCAGAAGCCTAGCGTTGGCTTAACAACTTACTGTGCAGTGTGTGCCATGGACTTGCCTACACTTAGTCTCCACTGCTGGCAATGCGTGGAGTAGTTCTAAATTGCTGCATGCCTTCCCAGGGGAACGCGCACGCACACGTCCATGCAAAGAAAGCATATTCCCACGTTGGTATAATGTACCGCAATTTCCGCGCAACAGCTGCGCTTTGCCTCCCAATGAATTGAATTCCTTCTTTCATGGGCCAATTTTGCCGGCCCTGCAGAACAAACCGCCGTATGACTGTGCATGCCTGTGTTTTTGTGCGCGCGCGCGCCCACGTGCATGCGTGTGTGCAAGGCTTATGGCTTGTGGATCGCGGCCCCTCCATATGTGCCAAAATTAGGGTCCCCGTTGAGGAGTTTGCTGCCATGTCTCACCCTTTGCAGGGCGGGACCGAGAGGAAACTAGCCATTTGTGAGGTAGCTATAGTATTGCCACGACACTTCCACAGAGCACGCTATGACATTTGCGCACCACAGTTTCCCTATCGTTGAGTACCCTCAACCTCATGAGCACGGATAATTTCGCCCCAACTGGTGGCTTGGCTAGCTCCTCCAACCCAGCCAAACCAGCAATCACGAGTACGGTGACCGGCCTTCCCCAAGGCTCAAGAGGCACTGCTTCACCTCCCTGAGCCCCGCGAGCGGGAGAGCGGGGGGGAGCGGCTGGTGTTCGAAGCCCCCAGTTCTCGATCAACTGACCCTGGAAGCTGGGCACCATTTTGCCAGCCTCAAGTGCAGAGAGAGCTGTGGAAGCCTTCATTCTGCACGGCGCCTGCCCCCCCTAGCCTTGCAAGCTTCCTATGGGCTGAGGCCGGCTCTTGGAAAGCCCTTAATGCCCTTGGGATGATTGCTTGCTGTTTCATAATGTTTCATATGCGGCGCGTCCGTGACAAAATGTCGATTCACTCAACCCCGAGAGAGAGAGAGAGAGAGAGAGAAAGAGCGAGAGGAGCAGAGCGAGAGCGAGAGGAGGGAGAGAGAGAGAGACTAGTCTTTTGGGCAGGGTCTTCCTTTGGTTTCCGGCAGGACCTCTCCATCGCGGCCCGGGCTTTTGCTCGGTAAGAGCTGCGGGGCGAGACCGCCGTCATGGCAACTGGCGGGGCAGAGCCTGGGGTGCGGGGAGCAATAATCCCGCACAAATTGGCAAAGAGCCCTTGAGATCGAATGCAATCACCTTATTCTTGACAGGGGTTTCTCATTCGGAGCCTTCACTTTTGGGGAAGCTGCCCCCCAACTAATCCAACAGGATATTTCGGGTCAACTTTAGATGAAAGTCCCATGCTTTGTGATCCCTTGCGTCAGGTTTGTGGGTTTTGCTTATGTGCACCGGAATGGTGGCCCCCCTTAGGCAATGCAGAAGGAGCTCACCCAAAGATCAGACATGTGCTTTGTGTGCAGCCGAGCGGGGCGAGTCGAGACGGTTGCGACCATACGGGGCCGGAGGACCCTTTCAACCCAGCAACTTGCGCCTTTCAAGGGCAAGCTGTAAGCTGAACTAAGACTGGCCGGCAGGCTCAGCTGCTGTGCGGCCGGCCTGCTTTGAGCAAGTTGAAGGTTGCCCACCGGGTCATTGGGGCTAAGGCTAGGTTGGTGATTGAGTTAGCTTCCTTCGCATGCCCAGCTGATTGCTGTCCAGTTGCTTTGCCTTGCGTATTGCTCAAACTTAGTAGACAAAACAAGCCACAGCCACAATTCACGAATGTTGTAGTGGCACAGCATTCTTGGGGGTGGACGCGCCATGTCATCCTTTGCTAATGGTGAATCGGTGAATCATGGCTGTGCCTCAAGTGCCATTGGACCTGCCAGATGTCGCCTGGGCGCGACTTCCGGGGAAAGCACCAGGAGAGGGCAATAGATTGTGCCGGGCTGCATTCACGGGATTGCACTGGTCTCGTGTTGAGCTTTGCAAACTGCCCGCGTCAGCCTGTCAGTTTTTTTTTGGCAGCATTATAGTGTTTGACCTTTCAGCTGCTGCTTGTTTGGGCACCGACTATGAGCAACCCATGACGTTTCTCAGGTCAGGCGGTTGTCTTGCAGAACTGCCGTTGATGGTAGCGTCGCTGATTGTGCCACAGTTGGTCTCATTTTTCCCAGCTCAGCTGGACATGTCTCCGTGCAGGAGATTGCCAACCTCTGCTGGGCTATGGCGCAGACGGACTTGTGCACGGCACCTGGGGGGGGGCTTGGAGCATGGCTCTGGCCGGGTTCGGGATGTTACTTATGCTTAGCCAGGGAGACGGTCACGTGGCCCTTGGCTTTTCCCTTGTTTCCCTTCGCACGCTTTAGACGAGGCTTTGGACTATGTTGTGCATGCCTTGGTGACGGCCTGTAAGTCACAGCACTAAGGCCCATAAGGCACAGCTTGATCATGGCACATATTGCCGTAGGTGATGAGGGTTTGGAATAAGTTCCACTTGTTGCTGTTGATTTCGAATGCCTCCTTGGAACAGATGCCTTTGTTGGAAGCTTGGACTTCAATTTGAGCGAGCATTAACTAGCAGGCAAACTGCGAGGTTGTCTCAAATAGTGACTGAAAGAGATAGCATTTTGCATTAGTGGAATTGGCGTGTAACTTTATTAACCATGGGCAGCCCTCCTCGATTTCAGTCAAAATCCTGTCCTAGGATGTTTGCTTTGAGAGTGGGCTGCGGCCCCATTTTGGACTGGCTACCCAAGGCAGCGGTGCCACCTGTGAGCATCAGACCTGCTTGATAAAGTCCTGGTCAGGCTTGCTGGCCTGGAAGCCACTGCCAAAACGACAAGGAAAGATTGGTGGGCCAGGTTGTTCTTTGGGCAGGACGTCGTTTCAAGGAGTAAACTCCGCGGCCTTCTTTCCTCACATCAGCACGGTCTCCTATGTCTAAGGGTTTGCCGTGTTACACGCCGACATGACACCCTTGCCGAAATGACCTGCACAAAGAAGGCTCATGGCTCATCTTGCAAATAGGGACAGGACTAGGCGGATGTTCCCTTATGACCATACTGTGGCGGTTGGAGTCACGGCGCGGCACTATGTCAGTACTCCGTTAGATCAAGCCTGCTTTTATTTGCTTCGGTTGGATGCTTGCTTTCGGTGCACGCCGCATCCTGGCACTTGAACGTTTCGGCAAGTCGGTGGCCACTCTGGTTTCTTTGGGTCACTGCGATGTTGGATGCCGGGCCCCAATGCCGCGCCGCGCCGTTTAGGGCTCAACGGGCCGACGGGGCAATCAGACGTTTCCACCCCAGGCTGTCAGCGGCGAGCCTGAGCCGTGTTTTGTTTGGACCCCGCACTTGCCGCAATTTTGTAGGAAGGCCTGGCCTCCCCTTGCAGCACTTGACAGAAGACCACACAGATCCAGTGGCAGCACAACCAGCTGCTGTGTCATATTGCCTTCTGGGAGGCAACTTGCCTCCGCGCGACCGTGGAAGCCACAGAAATCATGCCAGAGCCAAGCCAGGATCCTGCCATGGAGCTTGAGGAGACCCGTCAGCATGGACCGGAAACTGTATCAGTTGTAACCGAAGGCTCACCT